TGAGGATGGAGTGGACACTGGTGGTCCCATGTGTGAGTTCCTGACCCTCCTTATGGAATGCCTGAGAATGCGAAGAAAGCATCATGTCATAGCAACTGTTTCAAAATCTGATTCTAAATGTATAATGTTCTCTATAAAGATAGAATTAATACACAATTATGAATGTATAATATAAGCTGTGTTGTGTATTTAATGCATTGGTCTACAATTTAATGATGGCTTCTACATATTTCACATAAACAGACAATGAAAAAATGTGTCCTTCATGATGATAACTAGTGTATGCATCTGCCAATTAGTATTCTAAACAGAGTACTGTGTTGAATCCTTATTTCTTGCGTTTGAAACAGAAACAATAAAAAAAAGTGAACTTACTGTTGTGTTCAACTTCTGTCAAAAACTTTACATGTTTGCCACAGGAGCCACAGGACACTTGAACTGTCCCCAGATGTTGGCCACAGAAAGGACAAAACATGGCAGCCTGAAAAGACATACATTGATGTAGTAAATCCATTTAATCAAGTCAATCAAAAACACACAGTCTAAATAGTGGTTAGCTAAATAAATAGAAAGATACATCATGTTTATCGTTGATTCTGTGTTTTGTCTCTCTCTCTCCTTGAATGTCTTCTCTATATTTGTTCTTCAGCATGTCTAATGCACACTACTATCCTGTCATTACTTTGTCCCTCTTCACATTTTGTCACTTCTCTCTCTCTCTTTCTCTCTCAATTCAATTCAATAACTTTATTAGCATGACCATAGTTACAGGCAATTGCTAAAGCTCTGTATAGTTGCAACATCTATACACAAATACATACATATAAACAAACGGCTAAGAATTCAAATGTCCTTTTCCCGCGGTACTCACTATGGCCCGTGATATTTGCCTGCACTTGATTTGTCATCTCTTTTAACAATGTTCTTCCCTCACTTTATCTTCTCTTCATGTGAAGCTCTCCTCTCCTCAGCTGGTGTAGTAGTTAGGCATGCTAACGCTAGCTATATAAATATGACGCTCTATGTATAAAAACAAAACTTACCTTCTTATATCTTACTTTCCTTCCTCCCGATTTCCATCACTCTTGTTCGTTCTCTCTATGTCTGGTCAGACATCAATCTGTTCCACGTAGCGCGCCCCCTAGAGGCCTGGAGCACNGTACATGTTTGCCACAGGAGCCACAGGACACTTGAACTGTCCCCAGATGTTGGCCACAGAAAGGACAAAACATGGCAGCCTGAAAAGACATACATTGATGTAGTAAATCCATTTAATCAAGTCAATCAAAAACACACAGTCTAAAGTGGTTAGCTAAATAAATAGAAAGATACATCATGTTTACTGTTGAATCTGTGTTTTGTCTCTCTCTCTCCTTGAATGTCTTTATATTTGTTCTTCAGCATGTCTAATGCACACTACTATCCTGTCATTACTTTGTCCCTCTTCACATTTTGTCACTTCTCTCTCTCTCTTTCTCTCTCAATTCAATTCAATAACTTTATTAGCATGACCATAGTTACAGGCAATTGCTAAAGCTCTGTATAGTTGCAACATCTATACACAAATACATACATATAAACAAACTGCTAAGAATTCAAATGTCCTTTTTCCGCGGTACTCACTATGGCCCGTGATATTTGGCTGCACTTGATTTGTCATCTCTTTTAACAATGTTCTTCCCTCACTTTATCTTCTCTTCACGTGAAGCTCTCCTCTCCTCAGCTGGTGTAGTAGTTAGGCATGCTAACGCTAGCTATATAAATATGACGCTCTATGTATAAAAACAAAACTTACCTTCTTATATCTTACTTTCCTTCCTCCCGATTTCCATCACTCTTGTTCGTTCTCTCTATGTCTGGTCAGACATCAATCTGTTCCACGTAGCGCGCCCCCTAGAGGCCTGGAGCACTTCCGGAATGTTCTTTTTTTGTATTTGTTTTGGGATTTGTACGTGCTTTGGACTTTGCATATCGTTTTGGTATTTGCAGCGTTTTTTTGTTGCGTTTGTTTTCGGGGTTTGTGTGTTGTATTTAGTTTGCATCATTTCTGAAAATGCAGCGTTTTTCTGTTGTATTTGTTTTCAGGGTTTGTTTGTTTTTCATTTCATTATTTGCAGGTTTTACCTGCTAATGTATGCGTTTTGGGCCGTTGTTCTGCGTTTGCACCTGCCGGCCACCGTACAGCCGGCCACCGTACAGCCCACTACAACACTCATGCAGCAAACTCCGGAGTCCACTCGGCCACGTTAGTGTTGGTGTCTCCTGGGGAGTTTCATGAACATATCGGACTTCTCTTATGGCTTCCTGTGCATTATACTTGTGATGTGTAGTTCATACTGTATTCCAACTTTAAATATTTTAATACCTGAACACACTGCTGCTGTTAAATAATTTCCCAATTTGGGATTGATAAAGTGTCTGTCTGTCTATTTATTTTATAGAGNGTTCTGACCCGGGGCAGACTGGACCTCTTCCTGGAATGGGGTTGGTGCTCCATCCTATTTTTACCCAGGAAATAAGTGCACACAAAGGGATTTATTGATTTCATGTTCACAAATTCAAACCTACATGGTATAATTACATTTGTAATTAGTCTTACCCGATCAGACGCTGGTTGTGGGTGCCTGAGAGGTCTGATAAAGGTAAACAACAAATATATTCAAACTACTGTACTGTTAAAACATTCTGCTTCTTGTGGCACAACATAATATGTTGACAATGTTTTATTTTACCCTGGCAAACTGTTGTCCATTCGTGGAGTGCTCACTTATGGAAAATGTGGAATGTCCCACACCTGCATACACACAAATGACTGACTGAAATAAAATAAATTCACTTTAATTAAGAATAAATGACACGATAAATCCAAACTGACCAAGGTACATTATATTGTTGACCGTCCTTTAACTCTCAAATTGGGATTTACATTGGGGCAACCAACTCCTCTCTGCACCTATAATATATCTATATGATGTCAAGAGTTACATTTAGGTGCACAGTGCTGTCTCTTGACTTGCAAACTCTTTTNTTTACCAAACAAGGTAACGCTAGCTGGGTAAATATGACGCTCTTTGTATCTAAACAAAACTTACCTTCTTATATTTCGACTTTTTCCACTTCGATCAACTTTGTTTCCTCCGGCTTCAATTTGCAGCACTCTTGTTCGTTCTCTCTATGTCTGGTCAGACATCAATCTGTTCCACGTAGCGCGCCCCCTAGAGGCCTGGAGCACTTCCGGAATGTTTNTCAAGCAAAATAAATACATTTCAAAATAAACTATAAGTTGCAAACTGATCATTTGTGTAATCATGTAAACTATAAGTATTTTTTCTTTGTTTTAACATAGGTTTTTGTTTGCAGTTCTTGTTTCTTCTTTCTCAATGATCAGACTTTTGCTCTTGCTGCAGCTTTCTCGTTTGCGCTCCCTCATTTTTTGTCATTTGTGTCCCCATTGGCTACTCAGTTTTTGAGTGACAGCCCTACGGTGGCCGGCAGGTGCAAACGCGGAACAACGGCCAAAAACACATACATTAGCAGGAAACAGCTGCAAATCCTGAAATGAAAAACAAACAAATCCTGAAAACAAATACAACCAAAAAACGCTGCATTTACAGAAATGATGCAAACTAAATACAACACACAAACCCCGAAAACAAACGCAACAAAAAAACGCTGCAAATACCAAAACGATATGCAAAGTCCAAAGCACGTACAAAGTCCAAAACACATACAAAACATTCCGGAAGTGCTCCAGGCCTCTAGGGGGCGTGCTACGTGGAACAGATTGATGTCTGACCAGACATAGAGAGAACGAACAAGAGTGATGGAAATCGGGAGAAACAAAGTTCATTTAAGTGGAGAAAGATATAAGAAGGTAAGTTTTGTTTTGTTTTTATACATAGAGCGTCATATTTATATAGCTAGCGTTAGCGTGCCTAACTACTACACCAGCTGAGGAGAGCTTCACGTGAAGAGAAGATAAAGTGAGGNCTTTCTCAGAATAAAGCAAAACTATGAGTTTAAAAGAAAAAAAAACTAAGTCAAGCAAAATAAAATACATTTCAAAAATAAAACTATAAGTTGCAAAAATTTTTTGCAACTTATAGTTTTATTTTTGAAATGTATTTTATTTTGCTTGACTTAGTTTTTTTTTCTTTTAAACTCATAGTTTTGCTTTATTCTGAGAAAGTGTTGCTTTATCTTTATGATACAAAACGAATCCCATAGATCTTGACCCTTGACCATCTGATAGGGCGGTATCAGCGATCAGGTATCAAACCCAAAGATGAGTTTCCAAAATATGTCAATGCAAGGATAGAGCTCCTATCGCACACAAAAAATGCCATTTATGTGTTCTTGGTGCATTTGGGAGCCTCTATAATGACATTCACTACCATAGCCACTAGGTGGGGATATATATGCACAAAATGTAAGCAAAATAGTAACTGAATTTGTCATTTTTTTAATATCATCCCAACTCAAGTACATCAAACATATACACCTATTAGTCATACATCCAAACAACTATGAAACATGTGAGCAGATTAAATTATACATCTGTTTTGTCTCATGACAAAGGGTGAATACATCTTTATCATTCACTTATTTGTCTGGACTTGGTCCACTCCTCCACAGACGTTTGGAAGTGAGCTGATATTCATGCCAATATCATGTTAATTTATGGAAACTAAATCAGGACACAAGAAATAACATTTAGAAAATGAAGGCACAGCCAAAGCAGTGGTCATCTTGACGTCAATGCTTTGGGTTTTTCTTTTCTTTTTTTGGAATGCATAATAGAGAGAATTCTTGTGGTTGGGAGAACAAACATAATAAATATTGTTCAAAACAATATTTATTGTTGCAAATTATAAAACTTACAAAGTGTGATTTCTTTCTTTGATAAATTGTATACAAAATCATTTTGCAGTCTAAACTAATTCATTGTTAGAGAGAATGAAAACGTAATAATGGTGAAATTAAAATCAGAATAATACTGTTAATTAAAAAAACTGCTGGCTTCGGTTGGAATATCAAGACTGTCTTAATTGTGCTTTATTGGGTGTGTTGGTGTAAATTAGTATCACAGTGTTCCACCCATTCTAGGTTTAGAAAATACATCTTCATCTTCAGCAATAATATCAATACTAATGTCTGCACTTAAATGTTACCCTACATTATAAAGCGGTTTTATCTGGGCATAATTAAAGGTAACAATACAGGCACACACTTCAAGTAATTTCAGGTATGAAGGAAAATGATTCAACTCTATGCATCATGAATACATTACACATTTGCATGTCCTTTAAAACATGTTAATAAAAACTGAGAACCAATAAAATGTCTTGAAACGTGATTGTGAAGGTCAGCATATAGGATGTAGCACTGAAAAACATTCCCCCTGTGTCAAATAATGTCTAAGGCAGGGGATGCTGTCACATTTCTACCTGACATTCAAAAAAAGGAAAATGTCATGGTTCTTGCATATAGAATTCCATATTTTAACTTCTGAAATGTTGCTTTATATTATATTGTATTATGATTCTGATTTATTCAAATTTACAAAAATATGCAAAAGATCTGAAATATATTTTCTGTTGGTGAAAAACAAAACAATAGTTTAAAGTAATCCATATTCTATATGCTTTAAATAATTGAGGTATTTCCCGAGTATGATTGTACAGACATGTTTAAACTGCTACACTGGGTCTGCCATTTACTTCACATACAATTGCAACTCCAGCAATGTATATTGGTAGACCAACGCAACTGTCTAAATCTAGGAGAACATTTGTATTATTGCATTTCATATGCACTTCCCATGAACTGAAGACTACTCTTTGGAAACATGTGACAATGGTTTGGCACTGAACATAGTAAGCCACATGGCTGACTCAAAACATCACCTATCTTCTAATACAATACAAATGGATAACTCAAATTCTAAAATGGGGTCGGTCAAGAATTCTGTGATTCCAAAAAACATGATGATAACAGTGAAACAATTAAGCAAATGAATCACATACTGGCACAGACAACAACCTGAAGTATGAACAGAAAGGCACCAACAAAAATGTTTAAACACATGTGGTTCCATGTTGATAGTCATCCTACAGTAGAACTTATTGAGATAATACTAAGCAGACACCTTACAGGGTAAATACCAGCTCATCAGAGAACATGGAGTCAACCTATCCTGACAGTCATGACTGCTGGAGACATGATTACTGTGACTGTGAACACAAACTGTGTACTGTATTTTAAAAATTAATCTTGAGTTTTGATGCTTTACATTGTTATGTATAACATACTGCTCCTTTCTCATAGATGGCATGACTTTCCTAATTCATTTAATGGGCAGCATATTGGTTTTGGTTATGTCAATGAATGTGAATTATTTGTACTGGCCAAGAATTATGCCAAGGATTTACCAATAACATTATGGCAAGTAATGTATTAAGAGCAACTAGGAACCAATCTAAAATATTTTTTTAAGCACACATCTTATTCTCAACAAGATCATCTCAACCTCCTTTTTCCTGCTATATATATATATATTGCAAAGCTGTGTGTTAAGATCCGAGCAAAGATGGTGTCTCATGGTGCCAGAGTGCCTTATATGTGCCATATATATATATATATATGTGTGTATATATATATATATTTATACGCACACACATACAGTATATATTCACATTCATACATACCTTTGCTTTTGTCCACTCTAAAGCAGCTAGAAGGAAACTAATTGCATTGAACCAATGCATGTAAAGACACAAGACCACACTACTGTTGTGCCTTTCAGTCTTTTTCTTTTTACATTTTGCTCTTAAACTTATTGAGATTTTAAGGCTCCATTTTCACTATGAAAATAACACAACTTCTTAACATAATTAACATAATTATCTATTAACTACCTGATTTTTTGTCAAACAGAATCACTTTGGAACAGCTCATTGTGCAAGAGAGTGAAGCACTCTTATCTTCAAACTGCACACATATAACTTTTTTCTCACAAACACATATCTGAAAGTGTACACCTGTTATAAGAAGAAAGGATCATAAGGCCGTCTCCTGAACCATATGAGTGGTCAGCTGACATGAGGGCAGAGCCATCCTTATTTCCAAGTCTTCCTGCTCTGTTTGTGCTCTGTCACTCTCCGTCTCTTTGTCCTCTGTGACTGTATCCTCTTTGCATTGAGCTGCTTTGTTGCCATCTTTCTTGGCCCTCTGATAAGGCAAGGTTTTGGTTTCTTTGGCCTGACCAACAATGATTAAGCATTATTAAAAGTACAGCTTACAGTTAACAAACAGGGAAAACACTTGTGAGTGTAAATGTGAGGTTACCTTATGTGGATTGGGCAGAGGAGTTACACAGCAAAGCTTTTCTCTGTAGCGTTCAGGCAGGAAGAAGAGCAGTGTGCCCATCACTGGAAACACTGTGCCTGGCATCAGATCCTTCTCCTTCATAGGGCCTAAAGTTTTAGAGAAACACCAGTATAGTAATGATGAGGTATTCAAACAAAGGGCCAATTTATTTGAGAGAATGCTGCAAGGTGACACAATTAACATGCTGGTGCCTCTGACATATACATAAAAACCAAAGGCTTAATTAGAAGCCCACAGTGCAACTACCTGTATGCTTGATCTGGGACAACGTCAGTGTTTCAGAACTTGCCTGACAATCCTCCAACTTTTAAGATTTATTTTGTAAAAAAGTGATATAGCAAGAATTGTTACATCCAAAGTTACAAAAACTAAGAAAACTTAACTCTGAATAATTCATTCCACAAACGTAATTTCCTAAAATGTAAAGGAACACATTCCGACACGATGTTTCCATGGCAACATTTTCACTCCTGTTTCTAATACAAGTTCAATGTTCACACAAAAATGTGCCACAATTGCACAATTGGGACCCAAAAAATGTATTCAAATTTGGTCTGTGGTCATTATTTAATTTTATATTTTTGAGTTAAGCACTAAATTAAAAAGGTAAGAAAAAGCTAATTGTTTTTCTTTTTCTTCTCAATTGAAAAGATCACAAATGCACTGCCATTAAATGTATACTCTACACCAGGGTTCCCCAGACTACGGCCCGCGGGCCGCATACGGCCCGCCACGCCCCTTTGACCGGCCCTCCACCTCTCTGGACCTCACCATTTGAACTGGCCCAAAGAAGAAAAAAAAAAAAAAAAAAAAATTATAAAATATTTTTTTAAATATTTTATTTTAGTTGTCCAACTTGTTTTGTGAAATAATAACATGACTCTCCAAGGGGACGGAGCGGGCCGGGTGAATCGCTGTTCATTCGGCGTCACCTGCAGACTTAGAACTCGCGGAGGCACTGGTCGAGCGTATGCTAGTGGCCAGAGCGCGAGTCTGGTAGTGCAGATGCAGCCGGCAAACAGCTTGGAACTGTCATCAGATCGCCACCGCCTCTATCGCACGCTTTAAGCAAAGAACGTTGAGTGTAGGGCTGCTAACGTTTCTCTTGGCATGTGGTGACATCTGGTTATCATGTTGCCGCTCTTGTTTTTTAAGCGAACTAAATATGTTTCTTTATTAACCTTTATATTTGGTACTATAATCGGTAATATGTGGTGTCCTGTATTTTTGGTATATGACGTATGTTATGACGGAGATTTCCGGCACCTACAAAGGCTGAATCGGAGGAGTCCATGCGCAGAAAGATATTATGCTACAGTGAATAGGCAGGCTGTAATGCGTGCAGTAAAGAAGGAAAATTGGAACAGAGGGAGTGGTCGGGGTTTTAAAGAACAATGGACCAAGGATTTATTTTTTTTGTTCCATGGAAGGGGACCGAGTTGCCCTTTGTGGGGGATTATATGTAAAGAAAATTGGTGGCCGGTGGGGGGCCGGGGCCGCGCTGTTTAGAAGAATCAACCCTTGCGCCGCCATCACACACCGCACAGAGAGTAGCTAGCTTGAGCGGCGGGCCGCACCAGCGGAGAGATGTGATAAGTTCGGCGTCTGAAAGGCGGGGGACTAAGGCTGTTCGAGACAGGAGGTGGGGCCTTCCTGTGCGGTCGAAGGCCCGGGTTGCAGACCTGGCTGCTGTCCGAGCTAGGCGTACGAGGAGGTGAGGCGTGAAGGGGCTAGCCCACGGCAGGCCGTTCACAGACGGAGAATTCGGGAACAAGTGCCATGATGCTGTGCTGTGGCCGAGGAGGTGATCTTTGTCCGAGAAAGAACAGATGCATCTTCCGTGGGGTGAAGTCTCTCAGACACAACGGATGAATTCGAGAGCGAAATTGAGGAGGATGGGGATAGGAGAAACGTGTTTGACCAATCTGAGAAGAGAGAGCGCACAGACATTCAAGTGGGTTTTGCTTTAGCATGGATGAAGTGCGTAATAAAATAAAGAAATTACGTACAGGACTCGGACACTGTTGATTTTATACTTCGTGGCACATAAGTCAACACCACGTTTGAAGTGTCTAGAGGAGCTCCGGCATCAATGAGCAAGGCGCTTTAAACTACAACAACTGGTGAGAAGACCTTTTTGTCGAAGATGTGCAACGAACAAATGGGCGAACCCTTGGTCTGCATGCGCCCGCTAATTCTATTGCCAAGTGCCACTAGCAGGCATGGTGGCCTTACCACATAGGTCGGATCTCACGACGGGGATCTAGTTAGGGCGCCTGAACGGCGAATCATCGAGGGAACGAATGGTCTCGCCCCACGATTTCAAGGTCCAGCTGCCTGATCTCACCAAGCAAAGGCGCTGTGCTGCAAAAGTTTGAAGCTGGGCGTCTGTGATGATGGTGGTTGTGCTACTGTGTCAATACACTCCGGAAAAAATGGGCTGAAAGCACAAGGCTGAGTTCCACGGCCTTTCTACTCCGAAGCATGGGGTATGCTCACAGGATGTGCTGGTACTACACCGCATAATACCGGTAGGTTAAGTCGAGGCAAAGTATTGCGCCGTTCGACGGACCTACTGGCCGAAATGACACTTCTCCCAGTCTAAAAGGTGAAACGGATACGGGAGCTGAACCGACCGGTGAGTGGAATGGACTCGCGTTTTTAACTGATGTGAACTGAACTGTATGAAACACCTCAACGCCTACAGCTCATAGGCAAAGGGAATCTCATCAGCGACATAGTAATTCCCACATAACATTCGGACGCGCAAA